ACGGTATTGAGTCGGTGTTGGCTTTGTGGGTTGTAGCTCAGTGTTGACTTTATAGTTATAAACCAGCGTTTTTGAGGAACATACTGTTTGTATCTTTTAATCCAGAAGCGATCGTGTTTTCTCTGAAAATCTGGTATCTCTCCAGAAGTCCACGTTGCGGCATAACCCAGATTGACCAACATCGACATGTTGACCGCTGCGAGAACCTCGAATTTCACGGAAATGGACATTCGGGTTTTATAAAGGACTGGGAATTTCTTGACCGGTTGAGCAGCTATTAAATTCTCAGGAAGGACAGTGCTCCATAGAATTAATTTAGTTTGCTGTGTAGCTAAGGTTATTAAAACTTCACTGTTATATCGCATCTCTACTTATTTTGTTCTTTGATCTTATGTGCACGTCTCACTACCATATTTTATCAGTGGTTTAGCCTGTCTAGTGTTTTGTATAATTTCGTACATGTACTTAACACCATTTTACCGAAGTGTCTAAGGCAGTGGTATTAAACCTTTTTTGTTCGCGTACCCCCAGATATAATTTCTCTTCAACTTTGTACCCTCAAAGTTGTTGGTGTATAATTCAAGTTACAAATGGTATATAATCTACATCTAAAATAAATTAAATAAATTACATTACTGATTGTTCAGTGTTTATCTTCTCCTTCTCCTTCTTCTTTTTTTGTTTTTGTTTTTCATTTCACGTACCCCCTAAGATGTCTTCGCGTACCCCAGGTTGAATACCACTGGTCTAGACTAGATCATTCCACTGAAAAGTATAAATATTTGACTTGGATATCCCAAATATTTCTCGCCGTTTATTATTATTAGATATCATCTAGTGTTTCATTTATTTGGCGTGTTATGTTGTTTAATAAAATCAATACTTTGTCTCTATTTTGTCCGAGTAAAGAGACGTTAAGCTGCAAACTATAAACACTTTCCAAAAACATTATTAGCTATCCCAAAACTTAGAAAAATCTTGAATCTTTGGCTTGTCGTATTCTGACTTAAATTAATGTCTTGGACATTTTCAGTCCATTTCCATAAAATAATGCTGCATTCACGAAGCAAATACTAAGAACGTTTGACAAGCTGCCAAATAGACAAGTCTAATTGTAATGATTTATAAGAGACCTTGAGAGGCTAAATATGGAGCAGTTATTTAATAAGTATAAGTCTTTGGTTGCGAAAGAGACAGATGAAAGTTTAGGTTATCTTCTAAATAAACGGATTGGTGTGTTTACTTACCGATCCCAAGTGTGCGACAGATATTGACATGAGCTGGCTGATGAACCTCATAAACGAAAGTCAGCGGATGTCAACTGTAGTGATTAATACCTTTTTTTGTCTGATAAACGTCACTGAAATGACGATGTCTTAAAATAGTTCAGTTTTCTTCCCCGTCATATGCTGTCATGGGACCATCAGTCATTGTCTTTGGTAGCGTCACGGGAAAATTGACCATAGATTGTAGAAAGGAAGTTGGGAGTATAAAAGGGTGAGAAATAAACAAAAATGGAAGGAAACCAGAAACAGAGAAATAAATGACAAGAGAAACTGATTACCAAGGTGGTCGTTGTTAGCTAATAAGTAAACAGGTAATATAATAAAGCAAAATAAGAAATATTAAAGAAACAGAAAAAGAGTAAATAAAAGGTTTTTTTTGGATGTTTTCCATCGTCTAATAAAATAATAAAATTGAACGACGTTTCGGAGATAGTCTCATCTCCGAAACGTTGTTCAATTTTATTATTTTATTAGACGATAGGAAACATTCAAACACTTTTTATTTAGAGGAAAAGAGACAAAATAAGGGAATAAATAACCAAATAATAAACAAGTATGAAAGCACATAAATAAAAATGAAATAAAGGACGACGGAGAAGTATAAATAAACAAGAACTGGGCAAAGAAAGGGGCAGGGAATAAGAGATTAACATGAAAGACGATCGAGGAAGAAGGCAGAAATATCTTTCTTTATAGTGATAACGAAGTCATATTTGCAATGAGCGTGTTTGTTTTACGCTGCCGTTCCAATGACTAAGGTGGGATTTTCAGGCATGACGCATTCTTATTTCCAGTACCTTTTGTTCAAAGCGCGTGGTATGCCCTCACGAATCAAACAAACGTAACATGAAAAATTAGCGTATCGTACGAACACTTAACAACGACTACGCTTGCAAAGGACAGTATAAATCTACTTGACACCTGAGTGTCATACAATGGGACCTAGCTGTGCGCTGTGTAAACGTTAAAATTCTTAGTCCATTGCCCCTACTCTTGGGAGTGTTGTGAAATTCGCACAAATTCTGCTCGGAAAACCAGAGACAGAGTTGGGAGGATTTTCAAGAACTTTGATGTGAAGATGTGAACTTGATTCTTTGGCTGCAGTGTCTTGTGAACACGCTGTTCAAAAGAAAGCGTCAAGTTTCTTTATAGTTTTTGGTGCGCGCGTTCGTATTTAACAGATATCACTAGAAGAGTACTGTAAAGCTCTAAACATTAGTTTTGAAGAAGAAACAAACAAATCTTGTTAAATTAGTTTATGGAAATAGTCTTTTATTTCATAAGTTTCGCAATTGAATTTCGTTGGTGTGATGGTAGAGGGTTGGGGAAATTAATTTCTATGTTCAGTGTGGTGTATGATACATCCGTGCGGTTTAACTGATTTATCATCACTATATTAATCATCACGTTCATTTTTTTTAAGAAGTTGCGTTTATGTTTTCAATTGTATATATTTTTTTGGCTGTAGCTAGAGTTTATGATCTCCTTAAGTGCAATGCCGCGCAAGTGAATTCTAAAGGAATGCTTAGTATTAATTACGTTTTACAAGACTATCAGCCGCTGTCAAACTACTTGAAGAATTTTGCACTCTTTGACCTATTCCGACTCAACTTAGGAGTCGTCTGAATGGTCTCCTTTGTTTTTGTTTGTTTCGTGTTTCTCTGTCTGTAATTTGCGGTCTCTGTTTCTCCACGATGTTTCAGTTTCTTCTTCCCAGTTACATTCGGTCCAATGTCTGGTTTTCCGCTCATGTATCAGCATGAATGAAGGCCTCTCTTGAAAAGTTAATGGTCGCTCAGCTAGTCAGAAAATTTCTTATGTAACCAAAAGTTTCATTAACATGTTCTTAAGAAACCACCACAGGATCATATCATAAGCCGGGTGAATTCAATCTGAACCCTCATATTCCATTTTCGTAATATACATTTTAATAATATCCTCCCATCTACGTCTAAGTCTTGCATTTATCATTTCCCTCTTTCGTGGTACATGCTTCGTCATCTAATTCGATTTCATATGTGATCGTTCAGACTGGAAATAAATTATAGCCAAAATTTCTACATTTGTTTCTGTGAAGTTACCATTCCGTTCAGTCTCGAATTTAGAATTCATAAAACATTAATCGAATCTTGAGATATTAAATGGCACTGTTTCAGCTGTGGAGGTTAATATATTGTTTCGAATGACATGATAATTTCGTGAGAAGGTAAAGTGTTTGAAACAGATGTGTGTGACTTATTTGATACTACCCTGGCATCCATCTGGATAGGCTGTGGAAAATCACGACAAATCTCAGTTTTGTGGGTAGATTCGTGGAGATTCGAACCTGGTACTTCTCGAATACAAGAATCTGCGCTAACCAGCTGTGCAAGGTTATAGGGCAGAGGATCAGAGGACATTTTATAAAAGGCTGCAGACACCGATCTATTAAAATGGTGCGACTGTGTGGAATATATGTCACGGTTTAGGAGTGCTGGTAATCGGTCGAGTTAATGCGTTGAGGCGGAGTTCTAGCGGGCCTTGAAACATTCTGGAGGGCAAGGTACACAGAGTGCTTAGCTAGCCTACTATTTACTTTCTGCTGGCAGTTGGTAACACACGGTGGAACACTGTTAAAAGAAAGAGTTGTGATCTTGCTCATTGTGCCATGAACAAGTTGCCTTGTAAGGACATGAGTACCCAGCCTCCCAGAGACACTGGGCGCCCGCCCCACTCCCCCCGTGACGTCACAGACTCTCCGCAGTTGGCTTTTAAAATTATTCCATTTCAGTACAGTAACCAGCAGAACGTGCCATGTTAAAATAATTTTCGCTACAAACCAGTCAGTTGTGAGAAGTCCTTATTTGTTGGATTTGTGCGTGGGTTCTGACAGCATCTGCGTCGGTAATGTAGCTCGTTGTGTCTGTTTACACTGTAAGTTAACATAAGTTGAAAATCGCAGTTCTGACTTTGACTTGGGATCTGTCGTCGACTGTAATGCCCTTTCCTGTGTGTCGGATTGTTTTTTTTTTATCTCAGCGATTTGTACAACTTTATTCGGAATCCGTTGAACTTCGTTTTTATTCCAGAATATCCTCTTGTAAAGATGTTGGTATAGATTTTGAGAGAATTATAAACGTATCGCAAAAAAATTTACAACGCACTGGATGTTAATTTTCGGCCGTGAACAAATAAGTTTTTAAACTATAACTGCGATTATTTTTCTAAAAAAACATTATACTTATAGTATGTTAGCTGAGTAGCCTAGTTAGTACAGCGACAGACTCCGGGTAGAGCGACTGTGGTTCGATTCCCGACAGGAACATACTGTTTTCTCTCCCCTCCACTCCACCATGGCGTGGTACTTAATAAAACATCGTAGTTTGACTCACGTTACGAGAAATTTTGTTTCAAGTGAGCAACGCCTTCTGTATTTAGAGTTATCGTAAAAGTACATGAAATACTATAATATTAACCAGTGATTCGAAATCTTTTTTAGTTCCTATGACAATAATTTATGAGTTTACAGCTTTATTCTACCCACAAATTGATACATCACATTTCCTTCGACAGTGAGTATCCTAACAAACTTGGAATCGAAAAATTTTCATAATCAAAGTGGAAATAATTTTATGGATAAAATCGATTGTTCGTATTCAGTCGTTCCTGGTCATGGGCAACCCAGATATGAAATATCAGCGGTGACTTGAACTGTCAAGCTCTGTTCTCTTTCAGGTGGGGAGGAGGCTGAAGTGAGTCACACATTCGGGCCCCTTGACGGTTCTCTGTATGCAACCATCTCGAAGAAGCAGCAGCAAGAATTGGAGCATCAACAGGAGCAGCGTCAGCGCGAGGAGACGCCGGTTCGAGGCCCTCAGCAGGAGCTGACTGCAAGCGGCGCGGTGGTGATCGGCAGTCCGCACACTGTCTCCATGGACTCTGGCATTTCGTCGGCCGGTAACGGGCTGCTACTGCACAAACATCACCAGCACCATAGCAACAGCAACAACACTTCTAATGCGTCTTCCGCATCACCACCGCCACCCCTGACATCTCTCAACGGCCACGGTGGTTCCCTCCTGCAGCCATCACCATCGACGTCGACAGCAACACCTCTTTCACCACAAGATCACCACCGAGCGTTGGACGAACTCCTCAACGACATGCTATTGACAGTCGAGAATATCCCAGACCTACCCCCATCTGCTACTTCCCCATATGGCGATCGCAGTTTTACCATGAGGCACGTTGCGACTTTAAATGACCTTCAGCCACCTCGTCCGTTCCAGCATCACCATAGCCCGCCCTCTGTTGCAAGTTGTGACGTCATCAACCTACCATTAACAGCGCGCACGGCTTCGACTTGCAGCAACATTCCGCCAGTCAAACAGTTGCACAACGGCTACGGGGCTAGCGACACAAGCGCTCCTGGCGGCAGCGGGGATCGTACAAATGCGACGAATACGTCGACTGTTCTTGACGATTTGGTGGACGTAAATTACATTGACGATACAGAAACTGACGAAAATATACCTTACCACGCCCGGCAGAACAGCAGCCCTTTCACGTATGGTGCTATACCCACGTCACCCCAGCAGCAGCAACAGACGTCGTCCACGGCCATGTTGCAGATGCACCCCGGGCTGGCAAGCCCCAGTCTAGTGCGCAAAGCGAGTTTCAGGGGCGGCGCTGCCACGCCAAAGGGATCCCCAGTGTCCTCAACGACGACCCTGAGGCAGTCATCGCTCGTGTCTTCGGCACAGCCCTCGCCACCAGAGGATTTTGTTGACGGTGACGTATCCGATGTGTCGCCGACGAGAGACTACCGTTACAACGGGGCCTCGAGCACGTCACCAAGATCACCTGAGTTCCACGACGGGTGAGTACCTCAACTTGTTTCTTGTCTCACGATGAAAAGTCTGGTTGGAAGAACAACAAAAACTCCATTCTCTCTTGGCTTTCTTTGGGGTGTGTTGCAAAAGCCTCTTATAATGACAGCGTTATAATGCACAATCTGTATTAACAGTAACTAATAGTCTCCATGTCTTAAAGTAGGTGAGTGTTCACAATATTCTGTGGGGAAATTACTCTTCTTTTTTAATCAGGTTGTTTGAAGCATAAATTGTTGAATTCAGTAATGTGTAATGTAATCACCAACCGAGAAAAGAAAGTACTTGAATATTCACGGAGTAGCGCCATTTTGTAACTAATTATTGTAATCGATAAAGAGATAAGAATATGTTTGAATAAAAATGTTTATTTGGAATTTAAGAAAATATTAACATTAATTATTTTTGACTACGCGAAAAGCTTAGCTTGTGGAGACAGTCGTGTAGTATATTTTTTATGAAAATTGAACACAGAATTTGTTCATAAATAACGTGACTTTGTTTAAATTCCAACGTGCTTTAATGAAACTCAGCATAAGAAACCGTTTCCACCCAAAACAGGTACAACTGGAGTAGAACCCATTTTTAAATTTTGGCAACGTATTTGTGTTTAAAATCTACTTCACAACAGAAACGCATATATTTAAATTAATTTGAAATTTAAATATGCTACGGGCCCCTCCTTATACATTATGGGGCAGCGTTCATAATTTTTAAAGATATGCTAGTCGACCACAGTTAATTGACATTTATTTCAAGTAATGTGAATTAAAATACAAGTGTTCGTCAGTATTGAGGAAGGCTATAACAAAGTTACTTCTAAAGAAATAACACCCGTCTGATGTCGTCCATCAAGATTGTGCATTGCGGTGTCATGTCCTGTGATGTGGAATTCATTTCTCAAGAAATTTACAGCTCGACAGTCGACGAACACTTTAAGGACTGTTTGAACATCGAATAATTTCCCACTTTGGCGACATTTCTTGGCAGCTCGTTCACCCGATCTGCGCGCTTTCGATTTCTGTTCATGCGGCTACTTGAATAGAAGTGTGTTTCAGAAAAACCTGTCCGGCAGACTTTAATAATAATAATCTCGGAGAAAGCCTTTCATGCGTTATCTCCTTATTTACTCCGTATTCCTTTCCGATTACCGTTATATAATCGTCTTAATTCAAATTATAATCACTTCTAAAAGCTGCCTAATAATTGCACGTGTTGAAGTACGACGTTTACCATCCAGCGCCTTTACAGACAAATTTCAGGTTCGTAACACTCATTCGTGGTTTCCTAGTTTTGTGCGTGAAGGGGTTTATGCCCAGTAAATTGATCATTCTGTACAATTCCCCCCGGCGCCTTCCGGGCACTTGACCATGTTCATCTTTGCGTAATGAAATCTTCAGCTCTATGCCGTGTTTCGTAAATACGTTTTCTGCCAGAAAGAGCGTGTTTTATGCCAAAAATAACTGCTGTTGCACTGTTACCAACAGTTGGTCAGAGTTTTATAAACGAAAGATAAAATAAAACTGTAGTATCGTTGTCATATTCGTGATCCGTTTTAAGTAAGGATTAATATTCTATAATCTCAAACGTGTGAATAAATACGACGCTTAGAAATATACATGTTCAGTACTGTTGTTGAAATTAACTTTCTCAGAGATAACGGTTGCAGATAAACAGATTAATAGCTTAAGATGACTGTCTGCTTTCTAGGTTGTAGCACCGCATAGTCTGGTAGAAGTTTGCAGACGTTTCAGAGGTCCTCCATTATTATCACCCTGATGATGGAGGTAGCAAATACTTATGAAATGTCGGTAAATCTCTACACGACTACATGGAGCTACAACCCAGAAGACTGCCATCTTCAGAATCACCGTCGCGAAAACCTCAAATCCTACGGATTAACAGCTGTCGCCTTTTTATATTTGCATAACTACCTTTAAGATTTGTTGTTTATTTTTTCATTTTACAATTAGTCAGCTTAGAATTGTAAGTAGGGCCATCATAAGATCAAATAATGTTACATACGTAAATAAGCCTGTTTCTTAACGTTGACACTGAAAAGAAGTTCGTGGCATTTTCAGGAGTCGTATACAGTTTTGTGTACAATTCATTTACGACCACTTTGATCATACGCAAAACAAATACTTTCGACCAAATTCCAAAGGCAATTTTTAAGGTTTACCTAAAAGTTCTCCACGCTTCTCGATATGTCAGGCTACAGGTTAGACCTTTGGAACCCTCATTAGGAGGGGCCCCAAAACTCGTTTTGTATTCAATTTAACACTTTCGTCCCTGATTCTGTTTTAGTATTTCATTTTATTCATCTATAATAACCAAATTTAAGAATTTTAGAGAACAAAACGTAGTTTAAAACTAATACGCATTATGTTTAATTCTTTCTGTAGTTGATCACATACACGCTAGTTTTGTTAACGCGTATGAAGGTCCATTTGATAACAAGTATCGTCCCAACCATACAGTCGAGAGCTTACCTTCATTGCATCTTGACTTTGCAAAATTCTACTTATAAATCTATTATAAAAATTTTAATTCGTTACATTTCTCAGCCATTGGCCTTAGGAGGTGTGGAAAATTTCTTGAAAATAAAGTCAAACAGCAGCCGAATAAATATAAATACTAAAATTCCAAACAGGGCGTTTAAGAAACGTGGTAAAATTCTACCCCTGAACTCTGTTGGGGTGTTTTGGGTCAAGAGTACATTAACTCGTAGTTTTCAGTGACACTCATTTCTCTGATTGGGCTTAAGGGTTATTTCTTGCGATTGTCATGTCACTTAACAAAGAAGTAGACGTCACAGCTCATTAGTTGCTCCCTACATTATAATTCGATAATTACTGTCAGCGAGACCGGAACAGAAATAACTGAAAGCCAAGGTTACGCAAACAGTGACAAGTGCCACACACAGGCACGAGACAAAGTTTGTGTAACGGTCACTATTTTTAGGTTGGGCCCCATACCACACAGCGCCCGTGTTTGTTACGGTCTCTCTGTAATGGTCCGCCTGTTGCATCTCATTCCGTGATCCGGATCTATCAATAGCCCTGGAAAGAAATGTTAGTTTGAGGGGCGATACACTTTTCTGGCCCGTTAGCTGGCTTCTTGCCTTCTAGGTATATCCATGGATAAACAGACGTCACTTCCAGGAACTTGAAAAAGACCCGGTGAAATGATGTAACACAAGCTTTGAGTCTGAGCCCTTATTTAACATTTCCACAAACATAAATAATTTATTACTAACATTAACGAAAATACCAGGATTGTGAGAATTAAGGTTCTCACGGCAGTGAGTATAAATATATGTTCTAGGTTGTTGTGCCCTACAACTAGACGTAAATGTAAAGTGGGAGATATAAGACGTAAAACTAGATGTAACATGGGATAATTAAATGAGTACTATATAACTGGGAATCCAGGAAGAAGACAACAGGGTAGCAGCGTGAACAGACGTAGATGTATTTATAATTTATTATTGGTATTCTTATTATTAAAGAGTTTAGTAGTACAAACAGCATTTCTGACAAATCAAGAATCAGTCACAGACTGCAATGCGTTGTTACGATAATGCAATTTCGCGTCGTCAGTAATCAGGAAATCACATTCATGATCGCGGTCCACGGTTTGTATATGAGACAACTTACTGACAAAAGAAACACGTGGGTGTCAAATAATAAACAGGCCCACAACTCGACATAAACTACAGCGCCTTTTAATGGCACAAATGTGCAGAAGCTTTTAAAACTTGTACCCACAGAGTATAACTTATCTGGAATGTAGAAATAAAACCTCTTGAAAGCTCTTATTAACCCAAAGTCGTTTACAAAGTGACCAAAAAGTGGCTATGCTGATAGAAGCGTGTCTAGTAGATGGTACTGTATCGGCTATCTTTCTTGCAACATCGGTTTATTTATAAGCTGTCAGATCCACTTTAGTTATCTTGATAGACCTAGTTCGTTCTTTGAAAAGGCTACAGACTCAGCCTAACCTCGATTATTTCGGGGTAGCAGACGGCATTCGGTATCAGAACTGTGGCAAATGTGACGTAGAACAGCTGCAAGGTTCCTAAGGGTCTATGGTGTACGATTCACAAAGTGGACTATGCATTTTTATGAATAAAGTATGTAAAGATGAAGAACAAAATACACAAGATTAAGTGCGTATTTACGAGACACTAAAATATACAAATAAGTGTGGCAGGCCAAGGGGTCTGCAGTGGCCGCACGGTCAGAGGCGTGGGCCTTCTGCCGCTGGGACCGTAGGTTCGAATCCCACTCAAGTCACGGATGTTTGTCCGCGTTTCTCTGTGTTGTGCTGTCCTGTGTACAGGTAGAGGCCTTGCGACGGGCCGATCCCTCGTCCAAGGAGTCCTACCGAATGT